TAAAAATCGCGCTAACTTCCGTTCGAGCATTCAGGGCCTTAGAGATAACGGAGCAAGAGACATGACCACAAAAAACGGGCATGCAGTTTCAGAAAATGGAATAAAAAATTTATTATTTTATTTTCTTTCTTCATCACTTGAGAAAGTACATATTGAGAGACTAAATTTTTTCTTAAACTATTGAAAGATTATTGACACCTCTAGAATATGCCGAAGTACTTAATATTAATGCTTGATTAGTACGTATATATTGATATGATCTTATTTCTTATCATTCATTAGATCATATTTCTCGTCAAATAATTATAGAATGAGACTTGAATTTATTATTTAGTGAATAAAATTCGGATTCTTCTTAGCATGATGAAAATCCAAACATATTCAAATTAGTAATAGACTAATGTAACAGATGTGTAAATAGGCCCATAAATATAAATAAAACAGAATAAATTTCATCATTATCTTGTCAAAGCTCATATTTTCGGAAAGAGCTACCACAGCTACTGAAAATCATACTGATGAATACAGTACATATGTTTCGTATAATGGTTACATACTAATGTGACCAGATGAAGCAAGCATGAGGAATTTTTTATTATATAACATCGGGATTAGGACATTTTTCTCGAGCACACGCTGTTTGGTAGGTGCTTGCGTTCACCAAGGTAACTTCTTACGGTTATACTCTTGAATAATATTTAAATCGTTTAGATGCGTTACAAAGTGACAAATACGTGGATAAATCGCAATTACGCCATAATTGTCCCGAATGAAGAAACATCTCAACACGCGACCTGCACTGTGGACTTTGATGTCATGGAAATGAGCTCAGATCGCTGGAGACTTCCACGCGCGCCATCAAGTCTTGATTGCGTTTGAAAGCAGACCGCCCATTTTTACGTGGAATATCAGGAAAAGTGATCAATTTGTTCTTATGATTATGGAAAATAATGCTTAATTAAGAGGATATTGTTCATTTATTTTTCTTTTGGAATATTGACCATGTTCCTCATATTCATTTTAATTGTCAATAAAGTAAATGAACATGAATAATAAGATCAATTATGGGTATATAAATACATCCATATTTTCATTTTCTCGTTTACTGCAACGGAACTGCGACGGTGTGAAGCTGTTCTCTTGAGGCTGTGAACTTGCGTTGTTTACTGCAACATATTTCGGAAAAAATATATATAAATTACCATTACATGTCATTAATTTATTCCACAAATTATCTTGGATTATTAGTTCTTGCATACATACTACTGAATATTGAATAATAATAAGCACCTTACATCTAACATGGGAAGATCATGCAACTGAACAAATTATAATAAATTAATTCAGCACTTGAATATCAATGAATTTACAAGTTATTTACCGAAAAAAATATAATTTTTTAAATAGAGCGTAGGCCTATTGCCAGATCGCGCTAATGCTTGATAAATATCCAAAGATGAATATTTCCATTCATAAGTGTTCCATATTTTTCATTGTTAGAAGCAATATTTAATTTTAATTGCATTTTTCGCCCTGAATAACTGGATCAATTCACCACGTGCATTTTTGGTGACAGATTCCCATAATAAAATGTACTAATATTTCCGATAATATAATGTTCAAATATTTCCGATAATATTATGTACGAATATTTCCGATAATAAATTGTACGAATATTTCTGATAATATAAAGTACATATATTTCCGATAATATAATGTTCAAATATTTCCGAATATATAATGTACAAATATATTAACAGAAGTGTGAAAACATGATTATTTTGATAATTTATTTTTCGGTTTCGTTTGCGTTATAGTAACGCTGTAGAAAAGACACTTCTCTTATGTATGCTTATGTTACATTTACTTAACGTATAATATACTTAACTTGACAACTTGCGTTACCTCAAAAAGTAAATGAAAAAGATGTGTCTCTTCAATATAGAATAGAACTTGCTTTTGGAAGTGATTAATCAGAAATAATCACACACTCGTTTTTAAATTCAACTGAAATGGGTATAATAGATAAATCCATTCTGTTATAAGGTATATAATGTATTCACATCAAAGCTCTCCAAAACTGGATAAATATTTAGAGCGTTATTATATATCGGCATCGAAAACAATAACATCACCTCGCTTGAAAACGATGGTCAGCTGGGACAAGAGGTAATTAAATCTTAGGAGTATTTTCCGTAGATTTTCCAACGAACCGTTAATTTTTACTTTGGAATTTCGATGAATTTTCCGCTCTTTTTAGCTTTTGACTGAATTCAATCAAAATTAAAAGATGTGAAAACTTAGTTCAATATTTTTAATGGCAGGAAATTCCAGAAATGACTTGACCAATGTCATTCCAGTTGCTAGGCTCAGCCGCTGAAAGCCACTGATACATTTTAGGAACATGATAATTTTATGAACTCTGAAAATTTTTAGGAACAAAAGGATTTTAGGAACACTGATAAATTTCAGAGCCGGATATTAGTAATAGGCTTTTCTCTGAAATCTTCATAGGTTAAAAAATAAATTTGAGTTTCTAGTTTAGTGAAACCAGCTCATAGACCAGTTGATGAGGACTGATAGCATTACGAAAATACAAGGAGATCTTTAATACCAAATTACTAAACTCTCAAAATAACTGAGGTGACATCACTAAGTGCACTCAAGATAAATGGGGCTGCTACGTCCGAAACATATACTAAGGATACTAAGGATACTAAGGATACTAAGCATACTAAGGATACTAAGGATACTAAGGATACTAAGGATACTAAGGATACTAAGGATACTAAGGAAGAGATAGGGTGACATACCTGAAATACTAAACAATCCTTGCATGGATTGCCGGTGCTGAGTTGGTGCTAGGGCTAGTCCACACGCCCGCAGAGGCAGGTTGCTGGGGTCAAGGTAGGGGTAGCCGCAGCGAGGAACCATATATAGGCCGTGGAGGCTGGTCGTAGAGCATACGACACAGGTGCTCACGTCCATCGTTCCGACCGAGCTCAGGCAGGGCTTCAAATACAAGCCTTACTCCATGGGGTCAACAGAAAAGCAGGGGCTGAACATCATAACTGGGTATCTTAGTGTCCGACGGTGGCACAAAACGAGGTTGAGATACAGCAGCACCCTGCGAGTTAATGATGCGGAGTTGAGCAACGAACTGCCTGAAATTCTTGATAGAGGGCGTGAAGTAAAGTTGCATGGTCGAAATGTTAACTTTAGAAGTACCCCAGGCGTCACCCAAACTACACAAGGCACAAAGCAAGTAATGAGACCATGACCCGGAAATTTGAAACTATTTGAAATTATTCAAAACTAAATCTTAGTTTTGTTTACATTGAGCTTTTATTGATTACTTTGACCTAAAAGCTTCAGCTGCAACACGTGACTCATGGCTGCTAAAATAAACAAAACAAAATATATTATCTGCAAAACTATTAAATTATTTGATAGCAAAACAATCGTGTACAGGGGCCAGGACAGTTCGTTGACACACGTGTCAGCTAAAAGTAATGATGCCGCATGTCATTATCAAAACATTATGGACTCAAAGTTCATTAAGCAGCATGTCCTTAGATAAAAATCGTATTAAGAATGACCAGCATCGTTCATCAATCACCATCATTAATCACGTTGGAAACCATTAACGGTCCAAAGAAAAGATGTAGCGATTATAGAGATTTCAGTATTAAATTATTAACTTTAGACCCG